GCATGTTGATGAGAATTAAGCTTCGACACCAGCCCACATAAACACAGGATTTTGAAATACTGTACTGTGTTATGGCACAATAAGGGTTTTTATCTGATATCAGAAAGATACAGCCCAATTTTTTAAAAATAATACAGCTAGAAAATATTTAATTTCAATAACAGGATGTCAAGGTTGCTGTGAGGTGTTGTATAACATCTTGTTTTCTGGAGAGAGAGCCATCTAGCGAGAGAGAAAGTACAGTCCTGTGGTATGCTTTGGTTTCTAATACTGCAGAGGTAGTTCTTTGGAGGCCAAGCGGCACCATGTGATGGTAACTGGATCGCCACACAGCTGCAGCCGCGGGCACCATCGGTAGTCCCCAAGGCTGCTGGAATAGTGACATGCAAGCACACAAATACTGTACATGCACACGCCAGCGTATGGAAAAACCCAAATAGTACAGGATGGGGATAAGTGGGGAGGTGCGGGAGAGAACTCTACCCTGCCTGTTTCAAAGATGTTTTTAAAGCTGCGAAGGTTCTACTCAAACTGCGGCAGGCTGGGTTACACACAGGGTTGTCTTTTTAAAGGCGAGAGCCGGTGTGTTTGTTCTTCTGTTAAATGAAGGGTGGCGGTGGTCAGACTGGAACCCAACTACAGTCAATTAGGAATGTCTCTGTCAGAGGGTAGACCAGACACTTGTTCTCTATCAAAGCCTTTTTATTTTCTCTTAGCTCTGATGGACACAGCTGTGAACTCGTGGAACAACCTGGACAAAAGCGCTACTTACAAATAGATGAAGCCCTTAAACTTCAAACGTCAGACTGACTGCGTAGAATAAAACTGATATTTGTTTGGTACAAGCAGGCCTTAAAACCAACGCGATCTCACAGAAATATGTTAAATGACCATGTCCTCTTAACAGTGACCTAACACAAGAAGAATGACAACATCATAATTTATTTGCCCCCAAAATATGCATGTTTATGATCAAGTGACAAAGCCCTCTAATGGCTGTTGTAACTATGACAGAAGCAAAGCAGGAAATGAGGTTACATTATAATATGTATAATAAAGACGTTGTGGATGGATGGCTCAATAAGACATTTGATTTACTGTATACCATACCAGCTGCAGCTGCTGATTTTACTCCTTTCTTTTGTTGCATTCTCATAGTTTATCGGGACTTTTTTACGTGACTTTCATCCCTACTATGTAACTGATGCAACTTGAAATGTAATACAATACAAGTACAATACGTCAGATAAGAAAAATAAAGTACTTAAAAACAACTTGGTTGCAGTAACAAGAACAAGTGTAATTAGTTACTTCCAACCCTGCTCGTTAGTTTAATCCTTACAAAACTGAAATGATTGCATGCAGGCTGGAAGCTCAGCTAAAGTAATGGGCTGCTGGCTGTAGCTTCATACTTACCATGCAGACATGAGAGTGGTGTTAATCTTCTCATCTAATTCTTGGCAAGAAAGTAAATAAACATATTACCCAAAATGACAATCTACTCCCTTAAGTATCCTAAAGACTCATAACCTTAAACAAACACACTCAGTGTCTCTCTATTGTACAGGATATGATGCAGAAATGCAATGATCATCCAGGGAAGTTGTTTTTGATTGTGTTTGCTGTGCTTTTGTTTTATGACCAGACGGATTTAACTAGGTCCTCTGGTGATGTGAACTATTTGTGTCTTGTCTGTTTGTCTGTCCATGAGTCATTACAGGTGATATTTTAAACACTGCTGGTCTGACACTTATCTTCACATTGTATTTCAGACTTTAAAGACATACACAGATTTGTTTAGAGAAGGTCAAACATCTCACAGATATCACTGTCAAATTCGGTTAAAACTTGATGAATGATTCCTGCCCCTGTTTTCCGGCGTTTAAATGAATTACATCATTGGCTGGAGGGGGTCAGTATGATTACAGATTCGCATTTCAAACTCTGAAAGGGAGTAAAACACCAGACTCATATTTGATTGAAGATGAATTGGGCAAGGCAGATATTTAACTGACTCTATCTGTGCCCAAGTTCTGCCTGAGAGACAATGTTTACTTTTATATACGTATCTTCTCTTTTACATTGAGAGGTCATTGTGTCACAGCGAAATTAATGTGCGTTAACTGAACCAATGCCGCACTGAAGATGCTTTCATTACTGGCTTGTATCCACAAATCACAGCAAAAGTTCAAACACACACAGCTGTAGTGTAACATTACACCAGTGGCTACCAAACACCATGAGCAGACAGGGCTGTTGCAGGGCAGGGTGGGACAGGAGAGAATCCAAAGTGCGTGGTAAGTTGGCAGAAAGATCAAACTCTCTGCTCTGAAACCTCATACTCAACGTTGCAGACACTTTGTTGAAATAAACGGAAGGAATACTGCCTGGAGTGTAATGATAACGTTCATCAGCTTAACAAAGTTATCAGCCGTACAAATAAAATATCAGCTGTGCAGGAAATCCAGGTATTTGTCCTTTGAGAAAGTAAACATTATGTTGTCTTGCCTGAGTGAAAACAAGTAAATTAATGAGGACCAGGAAGGTTATTACAATACTGAGACAACTCACACTGAACAATTTATATATAAAATGCATACAATGCAAAATAAACTTCCATCTTCACAGGAAACTACTTAGGTTTAGGAAAATATCTTGCTAACGGTTATTTAGCAAACTCATCTTGTTCACTAACGAGACAATAAATTATCAAGTTTATTCAAAAGACAGATTTGTACTCTCGACTCCTGCTTTAAAACTGTGTGCAAACAATGACTCTTTTGTGTGGCAGTTTTTACTTCAACAGCGGAGGTTAACTACAAGTGAATGTAGCTAATGAGATAACGTAAACTTCCTCCATTTTTGAACTCTGGCTCTCCGTCTCCTCAAAGGTCAGCACTGTCTAGACCGCTTGCTGGGAATAGTGATCACATAGCAATCACCAGTATGATGTATCAATATTGTCTTAAACTTTGTCCGAGTCCAACAAAAATCATATCAATAAAACTAATACAGCATGTTTACTATGACAACTTGTCTTATCAACCTGGAGAGTTCTTTGCATTATCCAAACCCATAATAACACTATTAAGTTCAGACAGCAGCTCTCTCAAAAGTGCAGAGTGAAATGACCTTGCCACACCAAGACATATGCTTTTAATCCACTATCATTCTGTAATAAGGAGAGCTGGAAGTGCTATGAAAGGCTTTCCACTGAACCCTGATACTAAATATTGCTGATGATCTGTCCAAGGGGAGAGCGAAGACTAACACGGAGATCATACCAAACAACTAGAGGGCTCTGGCTGCCTCGTTCAGGTCTTAGAGTGAAGCCGGAGGCTCGTGAACAACTTACTTGCATGAGAATTTACCTTCCCTGCACGTCTGCCTTTGCACACAGCTTGTGTAAACATTACAAGGTGGTAAAGGACATGAAGGCAAAGGGAAAACAAAGATCATTTTGATAGTAGGGTGATGGCTGCATGCTAGGTCAGGACAGGCTGCAATGCTTGGGTATCGATGGGAGGAGGGACAGGAAAGAATCTCCTCGTTCAAATAACAGGTTGGAAAGTGAAGAAAAAGAGTTTTAAATGAGCAGGAGCACATGTAACCTGTGGGCTAGCTCTTTGTCATGCCTCCCCCGGCCGCCAGCTCTCTTCAGATCTTCTCTTCACTGCTGCAGCTGATGGAGTCTGTATGATGAAAATGTGAAGATCACAGTCACAGGAAAAATGCCAAAGCAAAGCTTTTCTACCCTGAACACAGTGAGTGAAATCAATCCTGCTGAAATGGAAATGAGGCACAACGAGAGCATGAAGAGCAGGAGCGCCAGAGGTGGGCGACAAAAGGCAGAAGGTTGGGGGAGGAGAAGGGTGTGCGCTGTTACAACTCCAAAAACATGTTTCAACTTGTTGAAACTGCTTCGTCAGCATACTGGCCTAAATCTAATGCCCCCCCTACATGTCCTCTTTCTCCCTCATTCCTTCCATTGACCTACAAAGGAAAATGTTGGCGATTACAGATCGATTGAAACCTTTCCAAACAGCACATAACAATAAAGCTAATCTGTATGTCCCTGGAACAGTTCTACCAAGAACAGCGGAACGTGAATGGCATCTTAGAGCGGGGTCGCTATCTATTATGCCGCCACACACCTAAGAGCACTCCAGAAAGAAACACGGGGGAACTGGATAAATGAGCTTCTCCCCTTTCCCTTTGCCAGGGGTGCAATTGATTTATATCCTCTCTGTCATTCGTCACAGGATTCATTATCACCCCATTGTGACTGATGTTCATCTTTTCATCATCATAGGGATAATGGCAATTTGCAAGTAAGAGGTTTTAATATTGTAAAATCACTGCAGATGGTGAACAAAAAAAACCAATGGGACATATTCAGTGCCTTCAGGCTCACAACATCGTCTTTCTTTAGTGCCGATCTCCCCTCTCTGTCTGTCTCTGTGATAACAGGGAGGAAGGCATTCTGATATGCTGAGATACTAGCAAACAAAGACACGTAGCAGCCTATCACCTCCGTGTTGACGCCACATGGTCCAGAGTTGTGAAAAGAATCTGACCTCCATCTCTGTGAGATTACAACGCAGAACAAAAAATACCCACAGAAGGAGAGACAAAGATCAAACGTGTGATCAAACAAACATATACAATAAAGAACAATGTTGCCGAGGCAACGCAGACGCCACCCCATTCACCCTTTGGTGTATATTTTCCATCTTCCCTTATTCTGTCAGAGGAAGATATGAAACTGTGTGTCTTATGATGATTTACAATGTAAATGTCAACAGTAAAGATTATCAATACATAATGAATGCGTATTTTTCACTTGGTAAAAAAGAGGGAACAAATGCTGTCAGCCCAAGTTTGTCGGGGGGGGGAATTTGAGAGAGTCACAGCAGAATGGTTTGGTATATTTTTATAAAAAACAATTACAATATTTAAAGCATATTTTTGTACAAAATATGCTCGATGTTGGCATAAAAATTAAAATCAAGTTATAAAGTACATATACGTTTCATTGCTATATCATAGTTAAAATATAAACAAATACATTTTTATGAAAAGTAAGAAGAAGAAATACAATGAATAATTAAGGTTCTGGAAGTTGTGCATAAATATTTCATTGAATAGCAAGCAGCCCATGTCAAGAAAAGTGTTTCAAAACCTGTTACACAAGTAGCAATTCTTTCTATTTATTCACTCAACAGCGATTCTTAGTCCGCACATAAACAAAGTGCACTCCACTGCTTTTCATTAGCCTGTCAGGCCCTCAGCAGAGCCTCCACAGAGAAAGGTAATGGCTTCACAGCAGGAGTCCTGACTGAGCTGCCATGAGGGCTCTTGCCAGAGTCGGCACAAGGACCTGCCTGATCGGCAGAAGTGTCTGCACACCAGCCCTTAGCTGTCAGAGGACTGGGATCAAAAGTCCTACAGGGTGCACTGACGTCTGGCCCGCTCAGGATACCCTGATCCGATCCAAACATAAAGCGTGTGACGGTTGAAGAGCCATTAGAGTCCATTATTTCTGTCGGTTTTGAGGGGGGTTTGACAAGGTCTAGACCTGACAAAGTGCTGCCATGATGTTTGAGTGTTTGTCTTGATGGTAGAGGCGTCAGCTCTGGTCTGTCTTTCTTTTCACAGCCTTGGCAGCAATTCAGCCCCCCCTCATCCCTCCTGGTTTGCTCTGAGCTTTGACATAAGAAGCCAGTGTGGTCACCTTCTGCGGATGACCTGCTCTTTAGGTGGAAGAACTGATAGAACTGAAAGTCACACTCATACAGAGGCTTATATTTATACACAGGCACATAACTGGACGTCCCTGCAGTGGTGGGTTCCTTGTTGAGAAGACAGCAGTGGAGGCTTGGGGAGACAGGCAGGGGCGGAGGGTGCAGCACGGGGACGAGGCCAGAGGAGGAGAAGGAGAGGTCGCTGTGCAGCTCTCTCTGTCTCAGCTCCCGCTCCAGCATCACGTTCTCCAGCTCCTTGTCTGCGAAGGCTCGCCTCTTCCTCATCCGGCTGCTGATGGGGGGACACGTAAAGTGTGTTTGGTCCCGCTGCGTATGCTTTGACCAGCAGGAGGTGTCTTCCTCCAGCGGCACCACTGGTTTGAGCCCTGGATAGAAAGCAAAGCCACACACTGCTGTTTTGTGTTCATTTATTTAATTCATTAATGAGTATTTGAATTTATTCCAACCAATTAACTGTCATGTTTATGTTTGAGTACTTTGTTCTTTATTATTTTAATTATGCAGTTGGTTAGCGGTGTCATTTTTCTTTTACTGAGAGCACAGAGAAGTTGAGAGGGCTATAAAGAGGATAAAAGCCTCCAGCAGGATTTGAATGCTAGTCAGCGGGTATTAATACACACTGTGTATTACAGTAATGGCCTGTTGTTGTGAAATAGTGAAGCCACAGTGATCAGGTGGCTTAGATAAATTAAGGGTGTGTAATGCAGGGTAATGACATCCAACAAGAAGCACTGGTAGTTTTGGGCCCAAGCAGGGCTTGAAAATGCAGTAGCAGTGAGAGCAATACATAATGCATGGGTGTGTTAAAGAGCATGCACCTGTGTGAAGGTATGTGTGTCTACTTGTTGAGACTAAAATCTGTTTGTTCAGTGACATTGTTGCGACTACTGTCTGTCTAAGGACAAGAAAATGGTATCCACAAAGTCAAACATTTATTTTGGGTTAAGACTTGGTTTTTTGTTTGAGGTTAGAAACAGGCTTAAGCTAAGGCTATAAACAGGTTGTGGTTAGATATGGAGGGATTACGGTTCACGGTACAAATCATTCCAAAAAACATTGAGCTGAATTATGTAGTTCTTTTGTAAGTGAATTTTTCTGCACTTCACAATCAGCTTTGTTGGCCAAGTATATGCGAACACATTTTGTTTTTTCACCACTCAATGTGGACAGGGGACAACAAAGCTGGACAGATAAAGGTTATATATAATAGGAGTAAAACATAGCTGTGAACATAAATATCATATATAAAGCATGACCATCAATGAATACTTCAAAAGACATGTGACACTTTGTAACAATCTCATCTCACTTTGAACAAGAAAAAAAAGTTTGTATTTCTTTGCTCAGCAAGCAGTGACTTACCTCTACCAATAGCAGATGACAATGTTGATCAATTTGTGATCTTGCATTAATTCCATCAAACTTAACACATTAAAAGAAAAGAAGCTACATATTAAAGTTGACTTCAAGGGTTTTATCTAATTTACTGGGAAAAAACTAGTCTTTGTAATCCAGTCTAGGAAAGAGGAAGTACATTAATGAGAGAGATGTTTATTAAACTTTACCTTGCAGGATGCTCTTAGTCAGTGTGCTTGGTTCGGCGGCTCTTGCGTAACGCTGATACGCAGTCCTCCGCAATGGACCTGCACACCTCACCCCCCTCTTACCCTGGGAGAAACATGGGAACAGGAATTAGACATTTCAACATAATCCTATTGTACTGAGACTGTGCCCCAAAGGTAATTAAAGTTATTTAATACATTATAGAGGCAAATAGGTCTCTTTATGGTTATAGCATTTCAGAATGGGGAATATTTGGCTATTCACCCCGTTGACACAGAAGATGCAGCTACTAAAGGTAAATGCAAGTCGTTTTATGTTGTGATGCTTAACTTTATTTTTTTGTTTTGTTTATAGTTTTGCTGTTAGCTATTCTATACTTTCTATCTTAGTTGTATTAATATTATATTTTAATAAAATCTGATCAATAATATTTATTTATATGATATAATCAGAAATATGTTTTCGAAATGTTAAGACTTTATTAAAATGCATAAATTCATATTTTACCTTCAGTTATAATAAAGACTTCTGCTACAATACACCATATTACTGGAATGAACAGCAAAACAAACTCAGTGATATTTTCAATATTTGTGTATGTTTTAATTAGTGTGTCTGACAGTGGCTTTGTGTGACTGGCATGTCTTGTTGCGATGCTCTGTGTGATGATTTTTTATTTCTTGTTAGAAATCTCAACAGGACTTCCTGATTAAATAAAGCTGAATAAACTAACCCTACAGCTCACTCTTTCTAATAGAAAACAACAAAACAAAACTTAACTCAAATGTTCCAAATGTCAAAAAATATGATTCTGTTTTGTATAAATTAAGAAAAACAAACAAACACGTGCTTTAGTCTGTAGTGATGCCCTGAGCCATGAGATGGTCAGACTTCTCTCACACACAGTTGAACATATGGATAATGTAATTTGCAAATTCAGCCTCGCAGCTTTATTTTTAAGCACTTCTGTAGAGTGTAAAATATTTATCTGCGATTTCTCTTCAGAACATTCAATCCAGCCAAAGAAAAGCATGTAGTAAATAACAATTGCTATATATTCTGATCTTTGGTCAACCAACATATGAGTCAGTTCACTTTGAGTATTGTTTCGAACTCACGTGTTGGGCCTCATTTTGATATCAATATCTGCCTGATAATTACGGTTCGCCTCCTGATTGTGGATAATCATCTACTGGAGGGTCATGGTTTAGCCATCTGTTTATCCTCCATCATTTCTCCATCACGGACCTGCCCTTGTGCCCTCCTCACCTCCGCAGCTTGCTGCCTCCTCAGAGCGACCTGCGCTGCCATGACGCGCTGCCGCTCCACCACCAGCAGGCAGCAGGCACAGCGACAGTCCCTCCAGCGGCAGAAGCGTTTGTGGCCTTTCAAACACGACACGACGCCGTGGTTGCGACAGCGGGCGCATTTGGGGCTCCGGGTCATCTTGCGTGGCTTCGGCTGATGGCGCTCCGGAGCTGGGGCCACTTTATTCTGCCCTCCGTCCCCGCGGAAGCCGCGCTGCCCGGCGCATCCGTCAGGACTCGTCACGTCTTCGGATTTGAGTACATCACGTTTTGCTGTGGTCTCCAGCCGCAGGCCTGCTTCCAGCTGAGAGGACATCTATGACTAATAATACCGGAATCCCACTTGTAATCAGTGGTGCACTATGTTGCTGCTAACGCTGAGCAGACTGTTACGCAAACGATCAAAACGGACCAAGACGTGATTATTCACTTACTGAATTGGAATCAGGACTAAGAAATACATTAATTGTCTGCCGAAAAGTCAGAAGAGCTGATAAATCACAATAACGCTGTTGTGTTACGCATAGAGCTGACACAGACTACAACATGTCTTCTAAATTGAAATAACAGACATAAAGTAAAACGACGCACTAAAGAGTGTGATTCCGGGCTTCAGAGAGGCAAATTCCAATTGAACACCAAGCCGTGAGGTGTGGTGTCGTGCTCCAGCCTGCTGCTACATGACAGTGTTTTCAGGGTGGAAACTTTGCAGCCTACCGCCAGACGTTTGAAATGTTAAGCCTCTCTCAGCTGCTCCCTGACGCTGTTTCCAAAACAGTATAGTACAGGATAGTAGACCGGGCCACAGTGCCGAGCTCCTGGCGCGGGACCGTGAGTAAAGATTTGAGGGAAACAGGTTTGCAGCAAAAGCGACTCCCTCTCCCTATAAACCCGTGTATCTTACCTGCCCTGCCCACCTTCGAGGTGGTTCTCATCTTTCAAGAGATTTAGGATATTGCCCGACCCACATCTCCAAATTCTTCTTGGCGAGGGATCACCAAGTCATTATACTTATCATTATTTTAATGCTAGTAATAATATATACATACAGAGAGAGAGAGATGGAGCAGGCGAGCTAAAGAGTAGGCTTACTCATTAGGACATGTGTCCGTAAGGGTGCATATGTGAGCTCTGTGTTTTACCAGACTGATACAATATGGACTAATTACGCACGCGCCTTGGGGAGAATAGCCTTGTGGGCTAATGAGAGACAGACAGAGAGAGAGAGGGAGAATTACATTTTCATATTAGTAGTCTTCACACTCATATTTATTCATTTTACTGTTAAATAATTCAATGATTTAATGGCTCTCTTGATGTTTTACTTCCAACATGTCTGGGTACTGAAAGATAATAATTGAAATACATATATTCACACTTAATGCTTGTTTAGATAAGTGTTTTTAACACCAGTTTAAGAAGAGAGCATTATTCAAATTCTCACCTTTTTTGAAAATGTATATAATTGCATACTGCTGTCAGGTAATTCCTTGATATGATGCAACAGATGGAAGTAATTGTTAATACTTCTTTGGTTTATGATTAATACAGACTGCTATATTTGCCTTTGGACTGCTATATGTGCAAAGTGAAGTAAATTATGCATTCAGCGAATTTCTTTGGATGTTGATTATACGCTGCACTTACCTCCTCATTGTCTCCTCTTCAGCCTACACTTATGGCTGATAAAGAGCCGTGTAGTGTAGTATATAAAAAGAGCTGTTTCCTTTAATTAAAATACAGTAGGCCTACCATAGACTCCACTGAGATGGTATGAAAAGTGTGCTCCCTACTGGTTCAAGTCTGTAATTACACCCAGGGTAGTTCTTCCAGGATAGTCGGGGATAACTGATTTGTCTGATTTCCATTACGGAGGAGGTATTCAAATAAGTCAGATTCCCACAATGTGACCCAACACTAAACAGTGCTTTCCATAACCAAACTAGTTATCATTGACCATTAACCCTAATCTCACTACCCAAGTTTAGATAACAACTTTTCCACTCCATGCCTCAGGCTAACAATGTACAATTAAGTCATTATGTATATGAATATACCAAAACAGCTGAAAAATATTTTTAAGCAGTTTTAAGTGCTTATTGAACAATGTAACACTTCAGAGGGAAATTATCTCAAAAAGCCTGAGATTATATGTAACATGTGCAAAGTTTGGAAGTGAAAAGTAAAATGTGATGAATCATTAAAAACAGTTTTCTGATTCACATTCTGTTATTGTGAGTTTTTTTTAGTGTGAGGTCATCTGTAAAATGAATTTATGCCTAAAACGCCCTTAAAGGTCAAGATCTTGGCTCACCAACATTCATTCCACGTGTACATCTTAAATTTATAACAACTGCAAAAGCACTGAGATAACAAGCTAAACCCTTATATGAATAGCTCTCTTAAAAATAATAAAGTAAAGAGGGGTTTTAAATACATACACAGGCCTATAATACTGTATATATTATTTTCACACAGCAGGCTTAGGGGCTCAGATGGCAAAGGCCCAGTCACTTCTGGTCTTGATCCTACACTTAGCCATGCCCAGAAGTGCCCTGCCAGGAGATGTCTGCTGTCAGCTCATAAAAGGTTAAAAGATCAGATATCAAAGATGTAGTCAGGAGCCAGAGCCAACTGAGCCTAAGAATATGATCACCAGAGTGATACAACCAGTGTAGCTATATTGTGATGACACTTTGTCCTTTTTCAAAAGTCTGACTGCAGATTTCTTTGTAACCTGGAGGTCTATTACTGACATTGGAAAACAATTATTAGAGTAGAGTTGTAAAATCGTAAGTCTTTGTAAATATTAGATTTAGTGTTTCCAAGACCTGGAAATATCTATACATCTCTGGACAGGAGTGACTTTTGCAGGGAAAGCAGCAGGTATGACAGGAATATAGATTTTATCAAGATACAGTCGTGTGTGTGTCTTGTCACTGTCAAACAGAATCATGCAGTATTTAGATAGAGCAGTGGTGTAGATGGAGTAGACTTGTCCACCACCCTGCAGTTCAACTGGTGGCAACAAGAGCGCTCCAACTAACACTCAAAGGGAATTTGGAAAAGGTACAGAGACATTTTACTCCTGGTGAAACTCCTTGTTGTCAGGTGAAAAGCAGCAGCCATACTGACCCCATATGAGGAAGCAAGGAAGGCAGTATTAAAGGAAGCTTTCCCCGGGGGCTTCAGTACTCTGGGGAACTGGTTATAACCAAAGGCCTTTCACACCGAGCTCAGAATTTTCTCACAAATGAAAAAAATAAACATATGGTGCCTTGCACACAGTCTAAACCAGTTCCACAGTTCACCGAGGACATGAAGTACATCGCACCCTACTTTTCATGGAAATCGTTTCTGACTAAATTTGCACTTTGATCTCATGTGAATATTACATATTCATAAAATATGAACCCACTTTGAGTGGACTACATGGACTTAATTGAGAAAATAAAGAAATAAAGATAGATTTAAGAAAAAAAAATTAAAGATTGCAAATAATATATTTCATGCAATTTAAGCTAAGTCTTTGAATTTGATCATTTCCATTTAAAAATGTGTGAATAGCAGAATTAGATTCAATCCTCATCACAATGCAAAGAGATTGAATTTAATAAACAGTGGTGTTAAACATGAAATAGTAATAGTTATTTTGGCAGGTCCTCAAAATAAGCATTCATAAGGACAGTATATAAACATTAAATACTGACATTACATAAACATTTAATAATATAACACTATGATGTAGCAGATATAAGTATTTTCGTGTATTTGCTTTTGTAATAATATCAAAAATGAAGAAGTTATAATTGTTGACAAATACTGTACATTAATAACCTCTCTAAATGTCCTCAAAGCTGCACGATTGTGTGTTACAAACCATTTATTAAAGGTTTGTATACCTTTTATAAATGCTAAATGTGAGACTTTAAGTAGAATGTCTGTGCGCAGCAAATACTTTATGGTTGCAAAACAAGAGAATACTGTCTTTATCTCTAAATGAAAGCACCTTCGATAAGTAGAAGGGGATGTTGTTACAATAGGATTAAAAATCGAGGCGTCGCGTGACAAAAACACACATTTTGTACACACGATCCTTTGCACATTTTGCAGAGGTATAACAACGTGATGCTGCAGCTGCCTATGCTACAGAGAGGGAACAGTCATTACTTGCATAAGTATGTGTCAGAAAAAACATAAACACAGGTTGCTCAAGGCATTTAAGCAAACCACAAATGCTTTCAATTTTCTGTTGAGAAGAGTCTACAGATGGATGAGTACTCGGTACATAACGGGTGGGACATGCATTATGTTGTGCAGCATGTCCACAGGAAAACAGGTAAGTACCCCCCTTATTAATACCGTCAGCTCTGCTATACCGCCTGCAGTGGAGTGCATCTCTCAAAGCCTGTTGACTCGCAGACAAATTGACTGTCATCAGCAGTGACATGGTGCTCTGGCATTCCCGTCACACGCCCGCCTCTTCCCTCCGCTCCGTTGTATGTCCTGCGGTTGTTCTGAGAGTTGTGTCCATCTACTTCGATTTTCGTAGCAGAGATGGAGTTTGACATACTGCTCGGCTCCCACTATCCGACCTGCCAGCGTGTCCTCCTCCATCTGCCTCTCCCTCTATGACTGACACCCTCAATCGACTTGTGAGGGAAGTAAAACAAAACACCGAAGGCAGACAACCTGTAAAGTTACACTCAACTCAAGGACAAGAGCGCTGCTCCAACTTTGTGCAATGTGCTGAAGTTTAGAGAAGGAAAACAGCTGGGAGGCAGGGTGCGATTTGACACAAAATCCTGAGCTGAATGTCAATTCACTTCAAAGAGAGAAATAAAAAGACACTCGGCTACACAAAGGCTTTTGCACCTTTATCCACCTACTTCCAAAGAGCAGGAGACACCTCGGCAGTTATCAGCATAAGGCAGAGGCCATTAAGCTGACAGTTTTTCCAAGGGAGGTTTAACCTGCACCTTAGAGAGTATTGGAGTCTGCCAAGCCTATTAAGGTGGAACAAACGCTTGCTTAGATAAATACACTTCCAACCTCATCGTACAAGACACATTTACGTTGTTTTGGTAAATAAATTTTAATATGCCACACAGCGTTTCTGTTTCTGTATGCAACAACTCAAACTGTCTAAGGACCAGTTACATGAACCAGAGAGAGGATTCTGCTGATACTATAAAATCACCTACTTTAGAAACTTTCATCTGGTCATAAAACAGTCTCAATGTAATACTGTAGTTAGTTCTTTTTGATTAAATAAACTCAACTTGGGTTTGGACACCAGCAGAAGGTCGACACTGCACTCATAATGTTTGGGCATCTTAAGGAGAAAGCAGTGCCAAAACCAGAGCTGGTGACAGGACAATGAAGGGATGTTGAGCTTCATCTAAGGCACAGAGTGTTCCCGATTTATCTTTTCAGATATACTATGTTTGCACAAGTGTGGGCAAGAGAAGATCGTGCAGCAGAAAATACCGGTCAGAGATATTCTGATTTTTAAACAGCTTGATAAAGATTTGATGTTTAGGAGTATAAACATGCTTCTATTGGCTTTGGTTGGATATGTTGCGCTAATGTTAATGCAGGCACCAGTCGGTCAGTCAGCAGAATCATTGTGATGGGAATGATATTGCTTTATTTGGTAATCGGTGTATTCTGGCAACCCAGTCAAACGTAATGAAAGAGAAGAGAGAATGGGAGAGAACTAGAGGAAGACTAGACTTAGAATGAGTCATGTATGAAGAAAGACTGCGTGGGT